GATCTGAAGGCGTGCTAGAGAACGAACAAAAGCAGCGGACTCAGGAAGGCAGTTGACACGGGATAGACCAGCATCTTCAGAGCTCTTAGCTTGAGAGGGGGCCACCAGGTAGGGAGGGGAAGACCCAAAACAATCAGCCGATGGCTTCTGCTGACCTCACAGGCCTTTGCCCTGCCCGCCAGTGGCCCCAGAAGCTTGCAAGCGCAGCTATTGCAAAATGAGGGCGAGGCCTGGAGAGAGCCAGGGAGGGGAGCCTCCATGTCTGGATAGAACTTCTGCCCACATTTCTGACTGTCCGTATGGGGCAGACTCTAGCTGAGGATAAAATAACCGAGACGGGATTTCCGCTGCCACTAAGAAACAGCATTTGTAGCTTGAATGCAAAGCAACTGATAAACCAAGCAAATAATTGATGTCCTATGTCAGACGCATTGGGCAGGGAATGTAGACTCGCAGGCTCTGCCAGCCCACAGATGGGCAGCATCAGATGTATTGTATTGCCTCGACTCTGCGGCTTCGATGACTCAGGCAACTAGGGTCCGAGGCCTGCTGCTCTGAGAGTTGGCACAGTCCCCATCTCACGCTCACGTTTTGCTGAAACAGGCTGCACTTCGGTGCGCAGTGCTGTCTGGCTGCCTGCGTCTGCGGTGCTGGCGACATGAGGCTGCGAGGTCATCCAGAGGCAGCGATTCACTCAATCACTGAAAACTGTCTGCTGCTGGAGGAGGTCACAGGGTGACCAGAGAGCCGCCTGCCAGCCATCTCCTGCAGGTTGGCCCAGGCGCCTCCCTCTGCCATCTTACTCTGGCCATGGTGCCCCACCCCTCCCTTGGAAAGTAGCATTTTCGTCTTGAATAGATGGATGTTAAAGATCTGCGAGGGCTTCACGAGTCAGCATATAGCAAGCTGGTTGGCACAGGAAGGTGAAATATGTCACATGGGTCTGGTATCTTGGTATCAACAGTGAACTGTTTCTATTGCTGTCACTTCCGATTATAAGAACACTCAAAGGTCAGAACTAGGAAACAGCCCCTAGTGAACTGGACAAACAGAGCAGTAGTGTTTGTAATGCACTTCTGTCCCACCCGGGCCATTGTGACGAAGTCTCTCCCGTTACCAAGGAGAAAAATGGGGCCCCTCAGTTAGCTTGTCTCCACAGCAAGTGTGCAGTCACACAACGTGGCAAGTCTGAATTAGAAGTCTCAGCCTTCACAGCTGGCACCCAAGGGACCCCTCTGTCGAAATGAATGCGATGTTTAATAAGGGATAAGGAGGCTTGGGTATTCTGATGGTTCCTTTTTCAGTAACGCTGATATTGATCACACGTTGTCAACTGGAGCTATGCAATAAAACATTTTCCATCAACTTTTCACCTAATACGTTCAGCAGCCTAGATCCATTATTTCACTAGAAGTGACACAATGGTGTTTTCTTAACCCTATTGCTTCTCTAAAACTTAGCTGATTCCTGAGTGAAGACCTTTCCCTGATCAGGTTGACCTGACACACAAAGAAGTCTCCATCTTCCAGTTAGAATTCCTCAAAATAATGGATTGGTGGGTGGCCTAGTAACCTCCAAAGGTGACTTTTTTTCTTCACTATCATTATGACATCATAAATTATGTATTTCATGCTTCAGCCCAGTGTTTTCTTGTTCAAACTACTCCATGTTTGGTAGATGTGAGTCCCTCTCAGTTGGCTCCTGGGTCCTTTTGACATGACCTTCCTCTTTTTTTAAGTATGACAGCTTCAGCATGTGAGTGAGAGGAGGGTGTAAGCTACCCAGAAGGAACCTGAGTATACATGTAGGCAGCCAAAGGCAAAGGAAATGTGTCACCTTCTCCCTTGAAAACCCGAGGCATGCCAGATTTTATTCCAAGTTGCTCCTTTCCTGAAGAGGGGCACTGTTAGTCGCCTTGGAGAGGGAATCACCTTGGTTATGACCCTACTCTTGATTGCTTCCCTGCTTCCAGCCTCAAGTTGTCCTTTCCCTGCCCCGTCCAGTGGGAGAGGCTGGGTGCTAGGGTGGGCCTTACTGCCAGGTTGTGATTTATCCTAGGCCTTTTCAATGGGCAAAGCTATGCCATATGTGTCTTTCAGAAAGAGAAAAATAGATCACAGTATTTTACTGGTATTTCTAATTGAAATATTCAACCCTAGGATTTTTATTTGACTTTAATGTTATATTTTCTCTCGTGATAAAAATCTTGGCTCTGAATTCCATGGACATAATATTCACTTTATCATATATAAACACACTTTCAAATGGCACCACCAATAGCACTGCTAAAAACAACTCCCTCTCCTAGCAATTGTTTGTTTTTTTCTAATACCTTTATTGGGGGGGGGGGGTGTTTTCTTGTTATATTGAATCTAATGTGCCCTTCAAATATAAACATAAATATATAAAATACATATATGAAGACATTTCAAAAGTATTCTAGTTTTCTAGGTAATATTCTGAAACCAATTGTAGATAAACTTTCTTTAAAAAAAATTAGTTTTAGAAGAAAACAAATTACACTAAGGGATGTGTGAACACAGGGCCACGTGTGGAGGGCACAGCACTGCAGAGCAGCCTTCCCTCAGAATGCCTCGCGTTCTGAACACTCACTGGATCCGTGGCCCTAACGTAACTGGTGGTAAATACACCGGGCCATCATTGAAAACTCAAGAACATGCACGGCAGTTGTCTTGTTGTGACGATCACAGTGAAATTCATTCTGTAAAATAACATTGGAGTACGTTGCGCATAAATTAGCAAAGATCAAATCCTGTGATTGATTTTAAAAAACATTTACCAACCACTGTATGTTCAGGAATTTGAGGACTGCTGATTTTTCTCTGCTAGCTCAATCTTCACAAAATTACATATGCTTTACCCCGAGGTAAATTTAGCTACTAAAAAGGATTATGACAACCTTTTTCAAATAAAGCAAAATGAGTCAGTAGGAAAATAAGTTCTACTTGACAACCGGGTACATCATTTTCCTGAACCACTTGGCCCATTCGTAGCTGAAACCCCATTTACTAAGTGAACCTAGAAACTGTCCCCCCTCACCCTTGCCCCTACACAGAAACCTGTCATTTGTCCAGCAAACAGTAATTAAGGGAGACAGGTGAGTCTGTCAAACAATACCAAAGTATTACTCAAATTATTTGTACCACATGTGCTGGAATCTGGCCATCTAAACTATCAACTAAAAAGTAAAGGCTATTTTGGTTCTAAAGCAGGAAAATCAGACATGTCTTGGCTCTTACCTTTGGCACTGACAAGTGAGACAAATTCATTGGAAACCTATCTATTTTGCTTCAGTGTAATCTGTATATATTGCCTATTCTTTTGTAGGGGAAATAATGTTGAAAACATTCAGTCTTTTTGGCAGTTAATCAACAAGTCATACCACCTTATGTCTAACAGTCAGAAATTTCCTTATTAACCATTAAAAAAATGCAACAGTCAAAACCATGACACAGTTATTTGCTCTAGGTTCTGTTTTTATTTCCATAACCACCTTTCTGCTAGACAAGAACATTAGCAAAACCTGAGTCAGAAACGCCGTGTCTGAGACAATCCTGTTGTTTTCTTCTTCCAGTTACCACATGGTGCTTTTTCACAGTTCCAGAGGTTCTCCTCATTTTAAAACATCAAAAAAGTACTACATTTGATGGCAGTTGTTGTTAAATAAAGTTCAATCAACTTTACAGAATTTTAGTATAAATTCAAGCATGTAAATTAACACAAAACTTAAAAAAAAAAAAAAAACACCAAACAAACCCAAGTGCTAGCTCACCTGTGGTGCCAGGAGATGTAACAGCACTATCTGTTTTTATATTTAGTGGTAAAAATATAATCCAGTTTTAGCACCAATCTACAAGATTACATGTTAATGAAAAGATAGGATTTGGCTTACTGGAAGATAACAGTCCTACTATCCCTCAGTGAGGAAATCTGTTCACTTTGCTGCATCCTGGCTCACAGAAAAGACAAACACGTGAGGAAGAAGAATAGTCTTTGTGAAGGCTTTTCAGTACTTAGACCACCTAAGTCAGTGGTAGGCCAGTGGTTAGCAAACTGCCGCTCGCGAGCCACATGCGGCTCTTTGGCCCCTTAAGTGTCCTAACGCCACTTCTTCAAAATAGAATTGCCCAGGACGAAAACTGACTTCTGCGAATGGGCCACAAAATTTCAATCGCACTGTACATGCGCGCCCGCACGTGGTATTTTGTGGAAGAGCCACACTCAAGGGGCCAAAGAGCTGCATATGGCTTGCGAGTCGCGGTTTGCCGACCGCTGACCTAGGTATTACTGTTGTATTTTGCTGGAAGTGGAGAATTGCATCACACATAGAAGATCCCCAGGAGTTACACTGTTGTACATATGTCAGGCTGGATCACATTTAAAATGCTGACCATGGCTTTGCAGCCTTAGAGGAAAATCAGAAAAATTAATGCTAGTGATCAATTCCTATTTTTTACCCAAAATGCTATCTCATCACTCCATTTCAAAAGTGAAGTATTCTAAAAAGGTGACACATTTTTACATAAAAACATATTGAATGTTGATGCATTATATATCAGTTATTAGACATGGCAAATACAAGCAAAGAAAATAAAGTGCAACTTTACAGTATATAAAACATACAGAAATCACTTTTTAAAATAGGCAATATAGACTGAAATATAAAAAGTGCCTGACGTAGCAAAGTTAGTCAGAAATGAAAAAAATTTCAGTTGAAAAAATTACCATTTCTCAGTACAGCAGAGCGACAAACAATCTTTTATTAAAGCTATTAGATTCGGAGGCTCGTGTATATTTTGGCTTTGTGAGGGAGAAAGAAAGGCATTCTTCTAGAAGGCACTAACTGGTTTAAGTGTGCAATCAGCTTCACAGAGAAAACAGGTGCAAAGTACAGTCAAGAAGACTGCCTGGTTCTGTTGTGTTCCTTCCTCTTCCCGGGGACTGACTGTCAGTCAGAGGCTTCCCCCACCACACGGTGCTCAGTCCACAGTGTCACAGATCTCCTTCACCTTGTGGTTGAAATCGTCAGGTTGATCTGCATACACATAATGCCCCGCTCCAAGGATGGCCTGGGAAAGGAAAAGCAGGTGGTCAGGGGGGAAACGGATTTACTAAAGCAATGACATAAGCAAAGATGCTTATCAATGAAAGTCAGAACAGCTATATGTAAATAAAACACAGGGCTTGATGCCCCATATGGGGCGTGCAGGAGGCAGCTGATCAATGATTCTCTCTCATCTTTGACGTCTCTATCTCTCTCTCCCTCTCCCTTTTTCTCTGAAATCAATTTTAAAAATAAAAAAGAATACTCTGGTTTCTCTCCAAATCGCATAATGACGATATCAGATGAGCGTGACTGTCCCATAGCTGTGGCTGGAGAGGGGGCAGGGGAAACGGTACAAACCCTGAAGGGGGGTGTGTGTGTGTGTATGTGTGTATGTGTGTGTGTGTGTGTGTGTGTGTGCGCGCGCGCGCGTGCATGCATGCACAGAGTGGGAGGCCCCATGAACTCTGGTCCCTCACTGTCTGTTTGATATTCTATATTTATTTTACGAAAGCACTAACCTGTAATAAAGTGAACAACTTGCTTTTTATGGGGAAAAAAAAAGAATAAGCAACACTGTTCTGAGGCAACTAGGTACTATATAGGCTGGGGTAAAAGTAGGTTTACAGTTAGTTATTCATATGGAAAATAATACAATTAATAAATAACAATGCAAGAATCAACTATTTCATGTACTCACAACTATAAACCTACTTGTGCCTCACTCTAGATATTTCTATCAAATAAAGAATCTGAGCGAATAAAGAGGAAAAAAATCTATTAAGCTTCATTAAAATTTTAACATGCAAGAATAAGTAAATAAAAAAATAAACCATTCCAAATTGACCACTAAGACAGGGCCAGCAGTGAAACTGAACAAAGTGAGAATGTGCTGCTTTGGGAGCTGGGACTTGGCCAAGGTGCTACTGGATTTACCCCTCTTCCAGGCTCTCCCACCTCCAAAACACTATGGCACAGCCCGTAAGAAAGGCAATTCACCGCCTGGACATGAAGACCAGTGTGGGTCCAATCCTACCCCATCACAGTGATCCCAGATCTCAGACCGAGGCTGCAGCACACAGCTCAGGTGTGAAAGCCTAGGTGGCCAGCAATCTCACTGAAGGCAAAGATCAGAACAGATCTCACCTAACTGAAAACCCCCAAAAGCCATCCACTTACTATTGTCTTCACGTATGAGTGTGGTCGTAAGGACTGGATGCTGGTGCCAGAATTGCCGTCTATGCAGGACCGGGCGCCGTAGATCACCGAGACTGGAATGTCAGGGTCCATTTTGCCGATTCGCTGGAGCATTGGCCTTTTTGCCCATCCATAAGGAATAGTCATGTTTCTGAATGCTGTCTCACCACTTTAAGAAAAAGAAGAAAATCGCACAGATGACTTCTGGGGAGGAGCATGTAACAAAACAGACTCACATTAAGTTTCTTCCTCACTTAACAAAACGCTCAGCTTAATCAGAAAGCAATTTAGTAGAAACTGTAAGGAACAACCCCACAGAAGATTTATATCTCTGTATACACCCTGCAGAAGGTGTGTGCTTTGTTGGATAAACATGGATGTCCAAACTCTAGTTAATTAAATAAAGCCAAATCAAAACTTGCAGCCCTAACTCCATGTTATTAAATGATTAAATTTCCTATGGGAATAGTTAAAATGTATTTTTTTCACTCTAACTTTTTCAAATATAGAAGACAGCTTTTCCACAGGTTCATAGCACCAGCTTTTTATAGGCCTATACCAAGATAAGAAATTAAAATTAAGCATTTTTTGTGTATTGTTTATATTTTTAACATTTGACATCTTAAAACCTTGCTGGCTGAGAAAGAATGTGCCTCCAGGAACCAGCCATTTCTTAGAGGTGGCCAAGGACTCCACAGGGAACATGCCTTTGATATGCAAATGAACGAGTGCAGAATCCCGCCTCTTTGGCTGCCCAGACAATCCAGGAGGCAATATTCCTCTGCCTCACCCATCCCAGGACCAGATAACCAGCACCTAGAGGCTATCCCCATTCTTTGAGCCTATCGGAACTTACTCCACTGGCCAGTCCCAAATGCTACCCTGCCTGCTGGGTGCCTTTCTGGAAGACCCCGTAAAGGCTCTGACCTATTTTCCCTTTGCTCCTGTCTTCTGTCTCCTGTCCAAAACCTGGCCTTTCTGTGCTCTCTTGGAACCTGTGAATATAATGAACTGTTTTCTTGAGTCTTTCCTGCTTCTTGTAATCATGCTACACAACACTTTGCAAACTCCCAGGATAGCCCTGTTTTGCTGTCATTTCTGCTTTTCTCACAGTAGTGGGCATCATTTTGAATTGCCTTTTATGAAGGCTGTACGGTCCACTGTAAGAAAGGCTATCACAGGCACAAGTAAGCATGAAATGTAAGTGAAGAGTGAGACACTAAGACCGTGTAGGAAAACACATGATGTATCTGGGATAGACCACTAAAAATTGTAGGAATAAGTCCAAGTGTGTAGACCTAATCTACCAGATCCTACTGCCTGAGTTACAAAACTATCTCTTGAGGACTCCAAGCCTCTCCAGCCTCCCTCTAACCCACTTTATTAAAGAGTGAGGCCATGGTCACAGCTCAATAGCTTCCATAGTCTCGATCTTAAATGAAGTAGGTATACATATTCGCTATCACAGTTAGGGAGGAACAAAAGCGAGGGAGACTGTCTCTGCATCTAGCCTCTCGGCCTTTCATACTCCAGTCTCCATCTTAGATAGGATGAGGTACCACTTGGGGGCCACAGCCCCGCTACATTAGAAGCATCTGTTAAAGATGCAGCCCAGAACTTCTAAGCCTGACTCTTGGAAACAGGGCTCAGAAATCACATTTTTTACAAGCTCCAAGAATTCTGGTACACACAGAAGCATGAGAACTGGAGTGCTCACCTTCATACTCCCTTCTTGATCCTCAACCTACCAACTCTAGGCTCTTGTCTTTCGGGCTCTTCCTAGCTCCCCACCATCTTTGGGCTCTGTTTTCTCCCTTGGTTCCTTGCACACAATATCCCTATTTTTTTCAGTCTTATTTGTGTGTTTTTTTTAAAAAATAAGAAACACCCGTGTTTGGCCTTCTTGCTCCCTCTAGGTACTATGTTCTCTCATTCTCTCTATCCTTGTAATTACTGTCAAAATACATGCAGGATCTCTCTTCCCCTCCCCAACTCTTTACTTACTCCTCACCATTAAGAGCTGCTTAGTAACAAGAGGTGCAATCATCAAATGAACTTAAAAAATGCTGCATAACATCTCCCCCGAACTTGGGAGATTTTTTACTCTTAGTAGAATAAAAGATCCTAAGAAGATCCATGATACAGAAAACTATTTAGATTGCTTAATCTAGCACTCTTTTTTGAGAGAACATTCCTTTTCAATTTGGGGATGTGGTTTTATATGAAGTCTTCTTATCTCTCAACTCTGACGGTCTCTTACAGATGCCTACCAAGACTTCCTCAAGTGATCCATAAGCATTTTAGGGGAAGAAAACAGGCCTTACTTTTCAAACTCCTATCAGAATCCAGTATTTTACACAAAAAGTGCTCCAAGAATAGATGAGTAACTTAAGAATTAGTCATTTAACTACTGATAACATCTCCTAGACTATTAGCATATTTCAAAAAAGAAAAAGTCTAAACTATGAACACAGTGCAGTTAGAATGATAAGCCTTACCTTGGAGTCTGGACATTACAGTGGTAGATGTATTCTGTCACAGTGTCATCTTCAAACATTGAAGCATACTTCCGTTTGAAATCAGGTCTTAAACGCTGTACTAGACTTAAACCTATTTAACAGAAAATGAATGTTTTAAATGGTCAGTGTTTTAAATTATAATTGACTTATAGATTAATTCAGAAAGTTTCAGTGTTTGCTTATATAATGAGCATTACATGCTTACAACATACGTATTCAAATGTATATTTTAGGTGGAAAGAAACATGTATCCTAGAAGCTGCTCTCCTCAAGTTCCCTAAGGAGAGCTCAAAGTAAGAATTCAAGTGTTCCATTGTGACCCATAGATGCTCTTTAATTCAAAAGCATATGATTGTTTCCTAAGATTTGTTTTTGTAGGAAAATAGATTCTATTAAACACAGCAGATGAACCGAGCAGCTCATATCTAAAATGAACTTATATTTTACCAAGATATATATATTTCTGTGGAAAAAATAAATTCAGGGTTTCTGCTTGGGTCACTAACAATACTCCAGGCAACCACAGTGGTCCTATGGCCCTGAGGGGAGAACAGGGACAAGGCCCCAAAGGAAAGAAAGATGAAAAACAGGAACCATCATATTTCTGGGGCCCAGGGACTAACCAGTTTCCCTTTCTGCTATCACTGCCTATTATTCTAGCAAGGTCTTAGTTCTTTAATGACATTCCTTCCTATTTCTGAAGGAATCATGCAGCTCCATCAAGAATTTGTAGGATGTAGTTAATAGTCTACATCAGTGGTCGGCAAACTGCAGAGCTACGTACGGTTTGCCGCTCTATTGACTAATGAGTTTGCCGACCACTGGTCTACATTACTCTCTAGTATCACCATTACCTTCATGTGCAAGCAACAAATGGGAGGCATCCATCCTCTACCACTGTCTCCTAATTTCTTTTCATACTTTATTTTTCTGATCAAGTCAAAACCATTTACTACAAAGATTCTTAGATAGTTCAGAGGAGGTCCAGACCACCACCATCTGTGACAAAAAGGAAGAAAACTGCTTTGGCTTTGAGACTAAAACAGAGGAGCTGAGAGTCAAATGAACCTAAATCAAAGACTAAGCACTGGTATCTCAAAATATGACTGGAAACACAAAACAAGAGTTCCCAAAATCTTTGCAGAAAAGAACTTTATCTGCTTAACCCTCCGGCATTATAGGATGAGAAAAGATTCTGTGAGTGTTGCCGTCTTTTCCATGGTAGATCAAGTCAGGATTCAAAATCTGCAGCTGGACATGACCTCTGCAGCTGGACATGACCTCTGTAGCAGGACATGACCTCTGCAGCAGGACATGACCTCTGTAGCTGGACATGACCTCTGCAGTTGGACATGACCTCTGCAGCAGGACATGATATCTGCAGCTGGACATGACCTCTGCAGCTGGACATGACCTCTGCAGCTGGACATGATCTCTGCAGCTGGACATGACCTCTGCAGCTAGATATCATCAGCCTGACAAGTGCTCTTTAATGGCCACCAACAGGTCCACAGAGCACTCCCCCAGCCCAGTCCCTCAAAGACTCCTTATTGAGGAGAAGGGTCTGGTTTCATTCATCTTTATGCATGGACTGGTACTTTTTAGAGAAAAAGTAAGGTTCAGTTTTTCTCTTTGTTTTTAAGATGTTGACTAACAATGGTGATCAACAAATACTTCTTTACTGCTCATCTATAAACATTCTGCTTTCCTAGGGTACAGATCTAAACACTCACCAAAGGGTCCTGCAATCCTGAGGCCAGCTAAAGGGTTAAAGGGAGTCAATACTGCTCCCAGGGCTCTGATCCAGACTGGAATTGGTCTGTCTTGATCAGCAAGGTCCGGTCGCTCAGGGAAACCCCAAGGCTCCACTAAAATGAGATGATTTACCCTGTTGGGAAAAGAACGGATTTACTTTCACTTGGCAAATTCACCCCAGTGTCAAGAATTAACACAATTTATGAAATAAAGACAAAAGAACCACCTTTAACAAGCTTCACATTACAGACAAGACCAAGGACTGAATAGGTTACATCATGTTCTTATCCTATCTAGTAATAGGGTAAATATGCAAATTAACTGTCACTCTGTCACAATGCTGTGGTACCCATAGCCACAAGATGGCGGCGCCCAGTCCTCTCAGCCTCACTGGAGTCCCCCAGTCCCAAGGGGGTGCCACTGAGAGCAGGCAGTGTGAGCAGCCGGTGGAATGATTGCATCATTGCCCTGGCGACGAGGCAGGTGTTCTGTGCCCACCCGTGGATAGGCCTCTGGGCCACGCAGAGGCTCGCGGGCGCAGAGTGGCTAGGCCCTGCAGAGAGCTACCGGTGCACGGATTCATTACATATAAACTAGTTACATATAAACTTTTGAGATTTGATAGGATTTGAGAGGATATCTAAGAGTATATGATACTGTGTGACTGTTCTTGAGAAATTGTATTTGTTGTTGTTTAAGCTATACTCTGACAGATGACCACTCAGAAAAATCCAGTGGTTCAATCTATCTCAAGGCCGACACTGCAGAAATGACTGAAGATTAATATTACACTCATAAAATAGTTTAGGAGGCATTAGGAGTTTAAGTGGGTTCAAAAGAACTTTAAATTGACTTTTCACAAACATAAGGATAATGAAAGGTACTTCCTAGTTTTGGATGCTATTTTGGTGAACAGCACACCTACCGTACCCATGACATCATGCTAGACTGGCCGCAGATGCTATCCTTTCCTGATTTTCTTCCTTACCGACAAGAGGTAGAAACTTTTCAGTCTAAACTCATAAAATTGTTTCATATCACTAATAGTTTTATTTTTCCATCCTTTGAAACTGCTTTCTGATGAAAGCCATAACTCCCAGAGTACTTCCTTCCAGTGGCTATGTTATATAGTAAATAAATATATTATTACTATCTTATATAGTAAATCACACAGGTCTTCCTAACACAGATGATATTTAATTGTAAACAAAACAGCCAACAAATGCCAGCAAAAATCTCTCAGGGATGAATTGACAATGTTTCTAAAGTCCCTTTCCTAAGTCATAAATGAATCAGAAAAGTAAAGAAACCAGCACACAGGGTAAAGGTGGCTATTATTCCTGATAGTAAATGTTTTTCTCTTTTGCCAGCACACTTTTGTTCTCACTGCATTTTCTCCAACAGAAAGTTTCAGCACACAGACCCAGAGCTCCAAGAGCCCTTGGAAAAGTCAGCCCAATATTCTGTCTTACAGATTTGAGAAGGAAGCTGAGATACACTGTGTGATCTGCTCCAGGACAAAAAGCTAGTAAATGTAGAACAAGGATTAAAATGCACATTTCCTGACTTCAGGATACTAGCAGATGCTAACAAGCCATTGGGCATAAGGCTCTCTCCTAAGGACAAGCTAAGCACAAAAAAGAAAGATATTAGTAAAGGCAAAGCCCTTCACTTTTGTCAACTCTAGGCTGGTCCTAATATTATACTCTAGATTTCATAACACCAAGATTTGTAGAATGTAACTACGAATCTGCGTGGAAATGTGCCATGCAAGAGATCTCTATAGACCTTGAGTGCCTTCAATCATAAAAGTTCTATGAGACTATCCTATATAAAAGGCTATATGCAAATCGACTGAACAGGGGAATGACCAGCCGCTATGATGTGCACTGACCACCAGGTGGCAGACACTCAGTGCAGGACCTGCCCCCTGGTGGTCAGTGCACTCCCACAGGAAGAGCACCACTCAGCCAGAAGCCCGGTTCATAACTGGCGAGTGCAGCAGCAATGGTGGGAGCCTCTCCTGCCTCCACAATAGCAATAAGGATGTTTGACTGCCGGCTTTGGCCTGCTCCCCAGTCAGACATTCCCCAAGGGCTCCTGGACTGCACAGGCTGGGATGAGGGACCTCTGAGTGCACAAATTTCGTGCATTGGGCCTCTAGTTATTTTTATAATAGTGTAAAGAAGGGGAATGGGAATGAGTTTTTGTTTTAATGGCAGAGACTATCTCTGACATTTTGACTTCCTCCTAAATTCCTCTTGTACAGCCCACATTGAGATTTGAGGAAGGGAAAGGTCAGAGGTATGAGCAGAATTTATGAACTAGCCACCTATTTGAAAGTGGCAAAGATTAATGTTAAAACATAGTATTATTGCCCTGGCCAGTTTTTCTCAGTGGTTAGAGTGTTGGCTCTCACACTGAAGGGTCACAGGTTCGATTCCAGTTAAAGGCACATACCTTGGTTGTAGGCTCGATCCCCAAAAGGCAACCAACTGATGTTTCTCTCGCTCTGTCTCTTCCCCTCCCTTTTACTCCCTCTAAAAATCAATGGAGAAAAATAGCCTCAGGTAAAGATTAATAAAAAAATATATATATATAAAAATAAATTTAAAAAAAGAAAGAAAAAAGAAAAAAAATGATATTATTCATTATTGACTTACCTCGTAAAGAAAAAAATTATTCTACCCTAAAAGATGACTAAACTTTTGTTAAAATCTATTGTAGGATCTTGCGCAGTCTGCTCTAAACTCTCACAGACCCGCTAACCCAAGAAGGAAGAGGACAAAGGAAAATTCGAGGGAGGGAAAGTCAAGTTAAATGATTGTTTTGGTTTTGCCTTAAATTTGGCTTGCCTGTTTACTGCGGATCTGTAAAATATCATCTTTCGGTAAGAATGGCAGCTTAACAAATGAGAATAAATTGCCCTAATAACTGATCCTATGTCATCAGCTTAGCATAGTGCTTAGCACATAACAGATGATCAGTAAACATTTGGAGTATTGTTGTTCACATTTCCTTTCAGTCCTTGTCTTTAAGGATATATAAATTTTGTAAAATATAATCAAGTAAAAAGCAGAGGAGCTAGCTAGTCTGGATTTCCTGGTTTCCCAGATGACATGAGAACATCACAATAAGTTCTCATATTAATCTTGCAGGTTGTTACTCACTAGTGGATAGTAAAATCCATTTAGAGAGTCAGAGCCAGTATGGCCTGATTGTTTTTTAATAAAATTATATAATGTGGAGTAGAAAAATATATGTGTATCATTGCACAAAACTTTGTTTCAGACACACACACACACACACCCACACACACACACAACTCATACTGAGGGTTCTAGTAAAAAAAGTTTGAAAATCATTTTTTTTAAAGTTCTACAATAATGTCTAAACTGGAGTTATATATATCATCTACTTCCACTACCTCAGAAAACAACTGTTCCTTATTTTTTATTGTAAGGCTTTAAAATGAGATAGACTGTGCAAAGTTATCAAATAAAAATATAAAGTAAATGTTAGATAGTTACAGTAGCAAAAACAGGAAGACTACTGGAGAAGAATTCATTCCAGGAAGCTGGGAAGACAGTGACAAGAACCACATGAGCAGTGAGTAATTTAACGTTCATCCTCCAGGAAAGACTAACCACAGGTTTTGTATCACAGGTTATTATAACCCTGCAATAGACCAAGTTCCTAGGCTATCTTCTTGCCTCCTTTTCTAATGAAAAGATCATCTCATTTGATAGTAGTTATTTGGTTTTAATGTAGTATAACTAAATTAGTATAGCAATCCAGACCCTAGCCTCTCATATTCTGCAGCTGATAGCATGATGGGATTGTTAGTTCACACCTACGATTAAGAAATGGGTCCACCCCGACACCACATATGAGTCATCCTATCAGACATATTTGTCAAGAATCAGAGACTGACTTGAACTACATGAAAAACAAAGAACCAGCAGAGCAGGAACAAGAGGACAATAGCCCATCAATTTCAAAACATAAAGAGGCCCTAACCAGTTTAGCTCAGTGGATAGAGTGGACTGAAGGCTCCCAGGTTCAATTCCGGTCAAGGGCATGTGACCTGGTTGTGGGCACATCCCCAGTGGAGGGTGTGCAAGAGGCAGCTGATCTATGTTTCCCTGTCATGATGTTTCTAACTCTATCCTCTTCCTTCCTCTCTGTAAGAAATCAATAAAATATATTTAAAAAAACAAAAACAAAAACAAAAACAAAAAAAACATAAAGAGGCACTCTTCTCCAGGTTAGTCATTAGAGTAGGTCCTGAGTTGGAAGATGGTGAGGTGATTGGAGTATAAAGGGCAAAGTGGTGGACAACACACAAGCTCTAACCCCTTGGGACAGCTGAGTCTAAGTGCTAACAAAGGTATAAAACCTGACTTTCATAAATTTTAAGTTCTGCCACTAACCACATATATTATAACAAGGAGAATATTCAGAGTAAGAACTAAAATGCACAAGGGAGTCTGCAGGACCTACTTATGCAACAAGGAAAGGAAAAAAAAAGGATCAGAAAGAACTCTAGTGAGTGCACAAATGAGCGATTCTCAGATGGAGGTAGGCTTAGGCATTTCCCATGGCCTCCAAGCCACCGGGAGAATGGGACAGGTCCGGAGCACAACACACCAAATACCTCCAACTTCAGGTCAAGTAGGACCACCTTTCTTCTCAAGAAAGGCTGAGGAGAAATGTTCAGCCCACCTCTGCAGAGTCCGAAGACAGAGCCAGGCAAAATCAAAAGGTCAGATGATCTGAAAACCTTTTCCTGAAGAAGTAAAGACCAGTTGTAACCTACTCTGTTGTAACTTGTAAACACTTCCTAAGTTAGTTCTTAGTGTCCTTTTCTTTAGTTTATAAGAAATACCTGAAAGTTTGATAAGAGACATCTAGAGTAGATAGTTCCATACTTGCTTAGTTGATACTGGTAAAATGTAAAATGAAGCATATTAAAAAATTTAAGAGTTTATTTGAGCAAAAACAAATTTGAATCAGGCAGTGCCAACCAGAAGTAGTTAGGAATGCTCCATTAAGCAAAAGGAAAGACTGGCTGTTTGTGATTCGTTGTCCTTAGTTTTTGATTTCATAACCTTGAGACATTTGCAGGCTTAGATTCTGATTTGCTTACATAGGCCATGGCATTGGAGCCACATCAGTCTAGAAGCCTCCTTGTTTCATTCATTTAAAACTGGGCACCCTTGCCGAAGCCAGTTTGGCTCAGTGGTAGAGCGTTGGTCTGCGGACTGAAGGGTCCCAGGTTCGATTCCAGTCAAGGCATGTACCTTGGTTGCAGGCACATCCCCAGTAGGAGGTGTGCAGGAGGCAGCTGATCGATGTTTCTCTCTCATCGATGTTCTAACTCTCTATCCTTCTCCCTTCCTCTCTGTAAAATAATCAACAAAATATATTAAAAAAATAAATTAATTAAATTTGCACCCACTATGTGCCAAGCACAAGATTTTAACTGAACTTCATTAATGATTAGGGATATTTGACAATCCAGAGAATCTCATTATTTTGAAATTAACCTGCATTGAGTAATTTAAGTTATACAATTAAGAATTCAGGATTGACTATTCAACACATTCTACAGAGTTCTACTCAATATTTGTTAGCAATCAGCCAATTTAAACATGCTAATTATTTCAAGCTTTCTCGTATTCATCTATTGCTAATATTTGGTGGTTCTTGATCCTGACACTTTAGTTTTATTTCTAGTATTAGGCACAAACATTCAAATCTCAATTTCTATAAATGTAGTCAGTCCAAGACTGGAATCACTGGCTTTGTTTTAGGTACCTATTCTGTCAACCATGTCATTCAAAATATGTTGCTATTCTCTTTTATAGGTAATTTTAAAGTGATCATTCCCTTCTGAAAACACTTATTTCTTTAAACATTCACAACTGCAAGTGAAAAATCTCCCTAACTTAAATAGCAGATAGTCACGAAGAGACCAGGATTCTAAGACTCAGGGGTTTCATAACCAGAGTCTGGCCCATGTCATATCTCCAAGGGATAAATACCACAAGAGAGACCTCATAAACATCTGTTACGAAACAAAGGAAGTTCAATCCCCACAAATACCCTGTTGTCTTATACCAGAAAAGTATTCACTTCCTTCTCTCAGTGACAAACATTTGTCACTAACCGTGGGACACAATTAAAGGCAGTAATCCCAAACAGCCAACCAGGCGAAGGAAATTTGATTTTTTTTTTTTTTAAAAGAACTGATCTGCCAGTTGAAAAAGCTATCACTGTCTAGCACACAAAGAACCATAAACTCTCCACAAAAGTCAAGGGTAAATGTTGAAGTTTAAATAAAGAATCTGTATAGAAATATTGGCTGTTCCAGAGGAAGAAAACCTCAGGTACACAGGGCTGCTGCCCCACATGTACATGGGGTTATGCAATGGGCGGCCTCAGGGGTGCATAAAGGCACTCTGAAAATGACCAGCACCCAATGTCTCATTCACAGACCTCAATGTCACAGCTGGTTGCAATTTTGGATTTAAAAATTAGTCCAATGGAAAAAATACCTTGGCAACCAAAAATGCTGATTATTATTTGGTTCTTTCTGAAAGATAAACAAAAAAATGAACTTTTCTTCCATTTTTTTTTAAGCACTCTAACGTGATCTTCCTTCAGAGAAGTAACATAAATAATAGGAAATAACACAAGAAAATCAGGTAGAGAAAGGAGGAGATGCTACAAAGATTCTGAGGCAAAAACCTATTAATTAAATGACTAGAAAAATAGTTCTATAGCAATAAATGTTAGGACATAGTATAATTATAAAACCCTTTAAAATACACTATGCAGGTATATTTTCTATAGTTTAGAGGAAACTAAAGCTTAGAGGTTAAGTGATTTTGCTCTAAGCCAAAACATAGCACTAGGTATTCTAATTTCTAACCTTCTGGTTTCCTATTACAGCTTATTACAACCTGGAAAAACCTGTTGGATCCATAGGTCTAATGGTAATAATAGTAAGCAATACCATAACAACTTTTATTTGTGGCTTCAACTGTATATATTCTAAGTTTAACAAATAGAAAGTCCCTTCTTAAGCTTCTATCAATATGTAGCAGGTGAAACAGGAAAATCTGACATCATTATTTCAGCTACTAAATTGGCCATTAATTGTAACGTGTTGAGGGTCTTTTAAGAGAATCTGTCTTATAAGGCTCAGATACAAAGCACCAAAGATAGAAACTAGATACTAGCACAGGTGCTTCTCTTGTGTCACCATTACTTACCTTTTCGGGTACTTCAGTGAGTAAGCAGCAGCCAAGAACCCACCCAGGTTGTGTCCAAGCAAGATCATTTTGTCCAATCCTAGGGCACATCTCCACTCTTCAATGGATTCCACAAACTGATTCTCTACTTCTTCCGCTTCATTGTCAAACATGGGTCTACTACTTCGTCCAAAGCCCAATAGGTCAAAAGCATAGACGGGTCTATCAGTGCAAAGATCTTCATAGTTCAGTGCCCAGAGTCCAAGACCTCCTCCAAAACCATGGAGAAGGACAAGTGGAGTCTTATTTGGAACATCGTAAGAGAACTTCAGTGTCCATATTTTATTTCCATTAGATATACGAACAGCTTCTTTTTTATATATACAGGGGACACCTAATAAAAACATAAAAGAAAAACTCTGCTCAACTTCACCACCTCTGAGAAGGGAAAGTATTCTCAAAACAATCAGAAATTAATAATCTACAAATCAACTAGTTGCCATTCATATGATCTTAGCCTTTATTATATCATTCCTTAAAAAAAAAAAAAGTATACATTTCACTAAAGCAAGTAATTCTTAACTATCGCATTTCACATCTAAGAAGGACAATCCATCTCAGACAAGTCTCAAGTTCGTATGGTCAAGGTCTTTTGGCAAGTCATGTAGTTCTTTGGACTTCTTTCCACATTCATCAAATGAGTACTTCACCCCTAGAAATGGAGAGGAACTCAATATTCACTGAATCCGTTATTTGGAGGTCTCTATACTTGCAAACAAAACAAAACAATGCCTTGGATACCTTGAATTTTTCTAACACTTGACGAGTAAGCATTGAAGACTAAATTGCAGACTCAAAAGAAACCTTTTTCCCTAAAAAGTAAATAATAAATTTAGGGAAGGATTAACAGTATCGTATTTAAACACATAACTAAATCTTAAGTCATTTCAGAGTTTAGAGGAAAAAAGGTGACATGTTATGGTAGGCACTCCTCAGCATAAGTGACAATAGTGTGAGTTCAAGTCCAAAATTCTCTCTGGAAAGTGCAAATCATTATCATTTTGTAATTATAAAAATTCTTACTTGCCTTCAATGCTGTAAGACTAAATACTTTAAATATCTCCCCAAAAGACTAAAGATGAAACTAATCTGAAATTCATTTACATTAAATTATTAACTGAATGGCTATACACTTTAGATGTCCCCTTATTTATTTGATGTTCACTTGCAGTGGACAACCAATGGAGAGCCAAGTTCACCCCCTGCATTAGTCACTTGCTTTCATGTCTGATATTGGACTTGGGGCCAATTCTCACTCCTATTTGCATCCCTAAAACTTAGCAGTAGGAAATCAGTATGTTTGTTAAATGCATAAGGTGGGCATTTAGTAGCCTTCCTTATCTCCTATCAAGAATTTGTTTGTTTTTGAACCTTTAATGAGGGAAAAAAAACAAACAATACCAAGCTCAAGGACATTCACTGTGTTTAGTGTGTCACTGGGTCAAAGGTTGGACAAACATGAACAAAGATGCACACAGTTACAGAATGAAAGCTGATGCCTGGCATGGCTAAATCTTGCTTTCCTCATCAGTCAGCAGCATGTTGGGGAATCCCAAGCCGATGGGAACTCCTGTGCAGACTCTGGGCATTGCAGGTTGCCCTCCAACACATCCACCTTCAGCAGCACCTGGTACATCTTCTTCAGAAATTTCTCATCATACTCAGACCCATGAGTTGGCCTTTTAGGCATCGCAACCAGATGCAAGGTATCAGCCACCTTGAAGTGCCAACCACTCCACCTTGGATATAATACGTGCCATGAACACAGTCAAGGTTGAACTCCACAGAGTTGATGAGGACCTAGGTAACTTGGAGGCACAGGGGAAGCCACGTCCCACCACATGTGAGCTCAGCAGTTTGTAAGAATTTTAGTAAACCACAATGACGTCTTTCACAGCTTTATAGAGAAAAAGATTACCCAAACATATAGAGTAGAAATTTATTTTCATGCTGAAAATCCATGTCAGGTGACTGGCTGTCCCTTCCTATGGCTATATTCAGTTATGGTCACCCACTCCTGAAGCATTCAAATGCACAAACAAGAAAATTCATTTGTGGTAGAGTGGATGAAAAACATACATGACATACACAACAAGTACTTGCACATACATACACAACAATCATATATGTGAACTGCATCACTTAATCCACGCCTCTAAATTTTATCAGCAGAAGAGAACTACTGGTATACCATAAACACTATTGTTTAAAGTATACCCACAGATACCTGGGAACACCTAGACAGTACAAGTCTGGGTGAATTACAGTGTCCATAAGAAAGAAAGAAACAAAAAGGTTTCCACACCATTATAAACGTAGAATTAAAGAGACCTAGAATACTAGAACTGAAAGGAATTTTAAGGATCCTCCTACCCCCTTGTTTTATAGGTAAACATCAAGAAGCTGAGAAAAGTGACTTGCCAAAGATCTTGTAATCACCTGATTGCTGATCAAGGCCTAGACTAGGTTACCTTGTTCTAGTCCAGACCTTGTTCCATTCTACAAGACATGTGCTCTGGACTGGCTATAGCCCATTCCTAAAGCATAGTCTAGGAACTTCTGGGGAATCCCTAAGACTCTTTTAGGAGATCTATGAGGTCAAATCTATTTTCATAATAATAATAATCCTATATAATAAAAGGGTAATATGCAAATTGTCCCCTCGACCAGGAGTTCGACCAAGGGGCAAGGCTAGCTGGACAACTGCCTACAGCCCCTACCCCAGCTGGCCTGGCCCCACTGGTCCCTATGACTTTGTGCACCAGGCCACTAGTATTTTATATTTGCCTTTTCACTCTTATTCTTTGAGGGTACATAGTGGAATTTTCCAGAGATCACAAAAGATGTGATTATCAACAGTCTAAATGCAGAAGCAAATATGAGAATCCAGATGCCTTATATTGTCAGACAGTAAAGAGATCTGTAAGCATGTAAACAACGCTACACTTACTATATTTCTATTTGAAAAGTAGTTATTTTTAGAAAATGTTACTTCTTTTAACTTGTATAGGTTTATTACTATTATTTTAAAATAAATTAATATATTTTAAATTACTCAGTCTTAATTTCTAATATCGTAAATGACACCTATTACCTATAAACAAAGCTCCTTAGGGTCCTTACTAAGAATATAACAGACACCCCAGACCAAAAAGTTTGGGAGCCCCTGCTCTTCTGGCTCATGACATGAAAAAGAAAAAAAAAGTTCTGCAAACAACTAACATACCACAAAATCTTAAGTTTCAGGACAATATGAATACTGAACCTATTTTAGCAAACAACTGTTAATGTATAAGAAGAAGGCCTTACATTTTAAAATTTTCTCTTCAGCTTCTTTAAGTTGTGATGTAGACGTAGGGCACCATGTGGGAAGCCAACCAGTTAGCCATCCTGACCTAGAGCATCAAAACAAAACACAAAGAGGTGAATAATGCTCTTCTCAACTCCCAACTATTATACAGAGAAGAAAAGCAGAATAGAAAACTTATTGAGGGTGAAGCTATCTACATATGACAAAATTCACCTGATAAGAACAAAGCATTGTGGTAAATACTGGATTACAAACATTTAACTCCAACCGTGACCCTACAAGTGAATATCAAAGTCTACCTATGTTATCTCTGCGGATAGTCAGATTATAAATAATCAGGGGTTAAAAATGGATAGACCAAGAAAAGACAAACCCTGGCCTGGTAGCTCAGCAGTGTTTCCCAAAGTGTGGGGAACATACCCCCAGGGGTACGGGAAGAGTTAGGTGGGGGTACGCGTTGCACCGGATATGCACTGCACCATGCTTAGCTGCACCTAATTCTATGTTCTCATGAGTACGAGAGGTACTCAGCGTTATGAAAATTATAGAAGGGGTACACATATGTCAAAAGTTTGGGAAACACTGGATTAGAGCATTGTCCGAAACACCAAGGTTTTGAGTTCAATCCAGGTCAGTGCACACACAAGAATCAACCAATAAATGCATACATAAGTGAAACAACAAATCGTGTTTCTCTCTCTTCCTTCCCCCAGCACTCTCTCTCTCAAAAATCAATAAATAAAAATTGGGAGGCGAGGAGAGACAAAAAAAGGCATTCCCCTTCCCACTGTAACGCAGCCTCTTACCAGTGTGGAAGTGCAAGCAAGTCAGAGACCATGAGAGGGTATAAAATATAATTGCTATGAGGATTGAGAAAAATCTTATTAAAATATGAGACTGCTTTTATAATAAGGCTTCAAATCTAATAGTTAAAAGTAGGACATTAAAGCCATCTCCTGTTTGTATTTCCTCCTTTCTATGCAAGGGCAGGGGAAGTGGAGTAAACCTATAGGTGGCCTATGGTGGCAAATTCCAGGAAATCCCTCTCAATCTAGCTAAATGGTAATGAAAATTATAAATTCATAGCTTTAAGTCCAGAAGAAGAGGGACTGACTAAATCTGATGGCTCTGGCTCCATTTCTCTGTAATCCTCTCTTCTGTACTTTCCCCAGGGATTGGCCCTCGTACAATCTGACTAGAGTGAACTGGTTCATTTTAGTGAAAAAGCTTTGGGTTTCAACAAACAGTAAATGAAAAGAATGACCTAGTCATCTGGCAGAAGATAGCTGAACAAAGAGAAAAAGGAGAGAAAGGTGTGGAGAGGCTGGAACTGACATGCCTTGATGTAGCCAGCCAAGGAGACGATGGACCTTCAGCTCCTGCCCTGGCATCAGCAGAAGTTGCTTTTGACTTGATCGCCATAGATTAATGAGCTTATTTCAAAGGTGGAGTGCGAGTCCAAGCACTTCCAGTGAAGGAAAAGACATCTGAGTCCATGCACACAGGAAGTGCATAATGTATGCTCTAACAAGTGCATTGGCTGTTTCCAATAGCTGCTGTAATAAATCACCACAAATTGGTGGCTTAAACAGAAATTTTTTTCTATAGTTCAGGAGACCGGCATCATTAGGCTAAAATTAAGAAGTCAGCAGGGCCATGTTCCCAATAGAGACCCTAGGGGAAAATTCATTCCTGCCTCTTCGGAGTTCTGGTGGCTGCTGGTATCCCTTACCCTGTGGCAGGGTCACGCCAGTTCATCACCACACTGCCTTCTCTTTTGTGTGTCTCCTCTTCTGCCTGCCTATACTCTTCTCTGCCTATTATTTGAAAGAACACTAGTGAATCCATTTAGGGCCCACTGAGATAATTCAGAATCATCTCATGATCTTTAACTGAATCAGTTAAAAGTCTGCAAAGTCTTTGTCATATAAAGTACCATTCACAGGTTCCAAGGATTAGAACATGGCCATACCTTTGAAAAGCATTATCTTTGGGGACCACTATCACAAATAGAACATGAAGTGTGTCCCCAGATAAAATAGGTAGAAACATCCAATGAACGGTAGCTAGCATTACACTGATGACAATAACAGTAAGTCACTAAGATGATGCTCCATCGTTATGCAGTAATTCCTAAAGGAAGAATGTTGGCCAAGGTTTAGAAGGGGTTCAAAGAATTGTCATTCTGCATCATTCCTTGCCTCAAAGTTAAGGCACCTACAATGGAAAACTCAGTCTTTCTCAGGCTCTTTACCTGACGCCCTAATATCCTTTATGTCATTCTTATTCTCTCTCTATTCTCTAGTCATACAATATCCCCTGTTCTCTTGCTTCTTGGTTCTGAACATCCTTGGAATGTGCATCTCCCCTTCCTTTCGTGATTCACTACACTTCTCACCAATCTCAGATTAGATTTCATTTCCCCAACAGGATTAGATCAAGGTGGCAAGATGGCACCCTATACTCAAACTTTATTTTCTTACTTCCCAAGTTGTGTTATAAAATTCTTATTTATTCACTAGAGGTCAGTGCATGGATTCGTGCACTGGTGGGGTCCCTTGGCCTGGTCTGTGGGGACTGGGCTGAAAATGGCTCTCTGACATCCCCCAAAGGGTCCCAGATTGCAAGAGGGTGGTTCTCGGGTGACTCACCCCAGAATCGGGCTCCCTCCTCTTTGGTTCCAGGTGCATCACCTGAGAACCACAGCTATTAAGTCACTGCAGCTTGCAGCTCCTGCATTGAACATCTGCCCCCTCGTGGTCACTGCACATCATAGCTACGGGTTGGACAGTCAGTCGCTTAGGCCAGTGGTCAGCAAACTCATTAGTCAACAGACCCAAATATCAACAGTACAACGATTAAAACTTCTTTTGAAAGCTGAAAATTGACTTCTGTGCATGGGCCACGAAGTTTCAATCGCACTGTATGTGCGTGCCCGCACATGATATTTTGTGAAAGAGCCACACTCAAGGGGCCAAAGAGCAACATGTGGCTTGCGAGCCGCAGTTTGCCGACCACTTGCTTAGGCTTTTATAAATATAGATTAGAATCCTTACCCAACTGTAATTTCATTGAAAGTTAAGGACTTTGTGCTTATAACTGTATTCTCAATTTATATTCCTATACCTTGCATATTAATATACTTTGATGATATGAACAAAAAAAGTTATTGCTTCATCTGAAATGAACTGGTTGCAATGATTTACAAGAGGATCACTTGAGTAATAAAAGAATTTTCTGGGATGATAATGAAGGTCTCTATCTTGACCCAAAATTCAACCCATGAACACTTAATATTTAAGCAACCTATATATATAAAAGCCAAGCGACTGGAACAACCAGCCACTATGACATGCACTGTGGCTAGCCAACCAGCACGATAGAGGCGTGCCGACCAGCCAACCTCCTGTAGCCTCTCCCCACTGCTGGCCCTGACTGGCCCCATTCTGGGCAGGCCAGCTAGGCCCCATCATGCAAGAATTCATGCACCAGGCCTCTAGTTGGTTCTAATAAAATATTATACCAAAAAAAGTAAATGGCTGGATTTGATAACTGGTTGGATATAAAGGTATAATAGAGGCTTCCTAGTTTGTCTAAATGCCACTAATGACGTCACAGAACACATGAATAAGAATAGATGTGAGTAGAGAAATGTGCTAAGTTTTGGATGGGTTGACCCAGCATCCAGCTTTTCTCAGCTTTGTAGGCTCATCCTTTTATATTTCCCTTCTCTGTAGAGTTCCTTTGGGCATTATGTATAACAGGCACTCAGTAATTGTTTTCTGAATGATTAAGTCACTCACAATCCAGATTACTCTCATTCCAAGTTATCTCTATTTCATAGATGTAAAAACTGAGGTTCAGAAATGTTAAATACCAGGCAGGTCCAAGAGTACACAGCTAGTAAGTTACATGACACAAGCAGAGATTTGATTGAGTTCAACGCCCCTTTTTCATTCAAGTGTCTACCTTCTTTATACTATGTGAGTTTTCATTGCCTATAAGATAAAGTCATATTCCTTAGGTCTGCAGAGAAGATACATTATAGCCTGTATTATAATGAGGCTCTACTCCAATGGTCTCTGCTGTTAGCGTTAAACCTAACCTTCTGAATTAACAGCATAAGGTAAGACCTCTAGGCATCTTCCACAAATGTTCCTATTATCAAAGTATGAACTAATGTAAAACATTAATATTAGCCTATTTGTAAACATATAAACCTATTTACAAATCTGCAATGGACTTGTTAATTTATTCAACACCTTTCCAACTGTTGGATAAAAGCGATTAATAAGCAGTTAAAAGAATCTCATGATCTTTAGAGCTTAAAAAATTTAAAGCCATTATTAAGCTGAAACTCCTTTGTTCTTATCCAGGAATAGTCACAAAGTTCCATATGTGGTCACAAAAATATGAGCTAGTACCAAGAAGTTAGTTACAACTCAGTCCCATAAATTTTTTAAAATATCCCTCAAATCTTACACAGTTCTTGTCAGAGAGAATCAAAGGTCAATACAAAACAAGGTAAAAGAAAATAAGTGAAATGAACTATAATCTACTATTATTCCAACTGACATCATAGACATGCTGGGAAGGAATACAAATTCAATCTTTGTTTCAATCTTAAAAAAAAATAATTACATTCACAATGTACAAGACACTAGAGTTTAAAATGTCATATTCCAGCCTGTAATACAGGAATTTTGTCTACCTCTCATCATAAAACCAACTTTCAAAGGACAGGATGTCTTATCCAAGAGGCAAAGTAATATTTTTACATTTGCAAGCCTAGAACATTACATTAAAAATTACATTAAAAGTTTTCAACCACTAATGCTCCTCTTTTTTTCATCAAAGCAGGTAATTTTTTTAAAGTGGAGCTTTACATATCTCTATAGGGTGAAAAGCAGAGGGTCTACATTTTCCATCCTTCAGCTGATCAATCTTTGTTCACAAGTTCCCACACCTTAGCTTGCTACCTCTATTACTCTAAAACACCCATCCAACCTCATCCCCTGTCTGTGAGGTAAATTAATCTCATCCTCAAAGAGACTCTGCCCCTGTCACACCATCTTGTGTCATTCA